GAGCCTCGGTTACTCTGCAGCCCGGGAAGCCGAGGGCGCGAGCTAGGTCAGGGCTCACTAAGCACCCCTCCCTGAGCCGGGGGGACCGAGCCCTGGGCGCCCAGCACCCGCTCTGCAGTCCGACCCCGAGGCCCTGGGCTTCGTTTCCTGGCCTGTAAAATGGGGATATCGCTGTCATTTTCCTGCGTCCTGCAGTAGCGATGAGGACTGTAGACCCGGTGCTTATAAAAGTACTGCGCGCACTTCCTGGCCCGTGGCAGGCACTCAATAAATACTAGTTATGATGGGACTGAGGCCGAGGGGCCAAGTGACTGGCCCAGTGTCACATGGGCAGGGACCCGTGCGATGTCTAGGACCGAGCTTTCAGCCACTGTCATACCCGCCTGCCTCCGGAGTAAAGGGAGATGCCTGCTGGCTGTCAGCTCTTCCCTTTGACTAGACATTGTACTGAGGACTGGAGCGCTCAAGTGATGCAATTGGGAGCAGGTCAAGACGGTCTGGCTGGGTTCTGCATGTGGTCCAAATCGGGAACAGAGATTGGGAGAGCTGGCCTTCCCATGAGCCCCTGGGGAGCACCCTCCTGAGCTCTGTCCAGGCCCCACCCTCATGGCCGAGTGGCCTAAAGGAGCGACTTCCATTCCGTGAACCAGTTTTCTCTACAAGCTTGCCTCCACCCTGCAGGAGTCTCGGGCTTGGTGGCTGTGCCGGCTCCTCAGGGTTCAGGGCAGCCCCTCTGACAGGAAAGGTCCCAGCCAGTCTCTGAGCCCCCCTCTCCTACCAGGTGCCCCACCTCAACCAGAATGCCTGGAACAACCTGGAGAAGTACAGCCGGAGCTTGACCCGCGCTGGGGGAGCAGGAGGGGGCGGGAGTACCAGGGTCGCCCTCTCACCCCTTGCAGGCATGTCCCAGGCTCTGGGTCAACACTGCCAGGTCACTAGAGACCGTGTCTCCTCTTACATCACCCCTTGCCACACCCACCCAACCTTGTGTTCTCCCCAAAACCCCTTGTACCAGGCTCTCACCCTCAGTCTCTCCTGTTCGGAGGAACCCTTCTCCCCGAGACTTCCCTCTTGTCCCCCTGCGGGCCTGCCTCCCAGGGGGAAGGGACTGAGCATGCTCAGTGATTTTTCTGGCCCACTGACAGCTGGATGAGTGATGCCATAGGTTGGGGTGGGATCCAGGCCCTATCAGGTGGATGTCCCCATAGGGCTCAGCATGGGCTGGCCAGGGCACTGATGAACTTTAATGAGCAAGCACCTCCTGAGGCCGGCTTTAGTGGGTAGACTGCTGAGGGTGAGTGTGGAAGTCACTCCACAGGGCAGTGTTCTGGGTTCCTGCTGTATACCCAGCCCGGTGCTGTTGCTGGGGATCCAGCTGTCACTGCCTGGCATTCACCCTGCACAGGGAGACAGGCAGCATCCAGCGTCTGCATGGATGAATGTGTGTAGGAGGCTGGATTCTTGCAGCAGCGTTTATTGCCACCACTCTGCTGACCCAGTAGACAACAGGATAAGAGTGTCTAACCTTGCAGGAAGCTCCCAGTCTGTTGGGGAAGCCAAGGAGAGCACAGAAGCTTCAAGAGGGGTTGTTCCCACAGCTTGACACAACTTGGGGGTCAAGTCAAGGAATGCTTCCTGGAGGCAGCAGCTTGGGTCTAACCAGACTCCCCTGGAGCCTGAAAGGCCATGTGTGCCTGTGTTTGCTTGCAGGACAGAGGCTGATGGGAAATCCTATGTGAAGTACCAGGTCATCGGCAAGAACCATGTGGCAGTGCCCACCCACTTCTTCAAGGTGCTGATCCTGGAGGCAGCAGGCGGGCAAATTGAACTTCGCTCCTACGTGATGCCCAATGCCCCCGTGGACGAGGCAATCCCGCTGGAGCGCTTCCTGGTGCCCATCGAGAGCATCGAGCGGGCCTCGGGGCTGCTCTTTGTGCCGAATATCCTGGCAAGGGCAGGGAGCCTCAAGGCCATCACTGCCGGCAGCAAATGAGGGCAGCAGCCCGGCCAGACTGAGGGTGTGTGGCTGGTCGCATTAAAGATGGTTATTTTTGGAGGAAGTCTTGGCTGTGTTTGTCCCGGGTGACACCTCAAGAACCTCTGGCTTTGCCGCTGCTGCTTCACTCTCCAGTGCCTGACGGACCTTCCGCTGCGCCAGCACCTGCCTTGGTGAGGCCTGGCTGCAGGGCAGCCAGGGAGATGAGGATGGCCTCCTGGAAGAGAAGTGCAGCAGTGGGCTGGGGCTGGGAGGCTGGCAGGTGCCCTGGCTCCCATTTTGTCTTCAGTGCCTGACTGCCCAGGACCCAGTCCCTTGGCTGCTGCCTCCAGCGGGGCCCCGAGGTTAAGGTCAGGCCCAGGGTCAGCCTGCCAATTTGCCATTGGAGCAGTGGAGCAGCCCCAGCTAAGAGCCCGCAGGTACGGGCCTCTGTGCTGAGTTTAGAAGTGGGGCCACAGGTTCTGTGGATGCCCAGGACTAAAGCTTTCAGGAGGGGAGTGAACACTGAGCATACAGTGAAAGAAATGGAGGCCCAGAGCAGGGGTGGGTGGGGTCTCCTGGGTCACCCAGCTTGGGAGCAGCTGGACAGGCAGCAGGACCCAGGAGTCTAAACTCCCAGCTCACTCATGTCCAGTCCCTGCTACAAGTCTGTAGCGGTGAGAGGCCGAGGGGGAGGAGGCCATCTCCAGAGAAGGCCAGCTCAGGCAGCCGTGGGCAGGGTATGTGACAGGGAGAGTTGCAACTGCCTCAGACCCCAAGGCCCTGGCTGGCGGCTGAAAGCAGGGGAGGTAGGCAGGCTCACCTCGGTGCGGATGGTGCGGCTGCCCTGGCTGGGGCAGGTGTTCACATACAGGTCGAAGAGGACACTGGGCTCAGTCACCTCCAGGTTGGGGTCAGCATTCACTCCAGCTTCTAGCCCCTGGAGGCCCCCGAACACCACAAGAGCGTGCCTGGCACCCACAGTAGCGGGAATCACTGACTGCTCGTCAAGGCCACGATGAAAGCAGCCCCCACAGCTCTCAGCCCCCGTACACAGCAGGTGCCCAGTCTATAGATTTGCCCCCACCAGACCGGTCCTCTGCTCCATTCCTCCTCCCCCAGCCCCTGCCCCAAGCTGTACCCACCTGAAGCTGGGAAGCTGGGCAGAGGCCACATCCGAGCCTCGCTCTGATGTCCCGATGGTTAGGTCATACCCGTCCTGGAAGGGGGCCTCGGCAAACACAGCACCTGGGGGTGAGGCCAGCTCAGTAGGGGTCCTGCTTTCCACAAGCCACAGCTGCCTGGCTGTGTGTGTGCTGGGTGGGGTGTGGAGAAGGGGGCCCAGGTAAGGGAGTCACCCAGGCCCTCCCCTGTTCCTGGGGGGTCAGGCACTGACCAGGGAGAGGCCATGCCTGTGCTATCCTGCAGAAGCACAGCAGAGGTGGCTAGGAAGGACTGTGAGAACACATACTGCAGCTCTGACTTCTCTGGTCCTTTTGCCCCCATTCCCAACCCCAGAGGGACATTATCCATCGACCATGACACTTCTCTGAAGTCCTTAACAGCATCCAGGCTAAGCACTCAGGGAGACCAAGGCCCAGAGCAGGAAAGGCAGCTGCCCAAGGACACAGAGCAAGTTGGCAGGACAAGGACGCTGGTCTGACTTTGGGCCAATCAAGGCTCCCTGTGGCCTGCCACGCAGAGAGGAAGGAGACTGATCAAAGGGAGCTCCGTCCTTACTGAGGCAGGAGGCCAGCCGGACCGTGTAGCCCCAGTAGAGCCCAGCTTTGGTGCGAGGGTCCTGAGACGACACGACTTTTCCACGGTAGGTCTTGCTTTCTGGGGGGGAAGCAGAGAGGCTGTGAGGACGGGCTGAGGGGACAAGGAGGTAGAAGGAGGAGGGTCTGAGCCCTCAGGCTGGCCAGGCTGAGGAAGCGTTCAGATACCCGGGAGCTGCTTCTGGCTCAGGCGCACGGTCACACGAAGCCCAGGTTCCAAGTTCTTGTCAATCTTCACCTCCTAGGGAGAAGCCAGACATGGGTGTGGTTCCCCACGGGACCAGCAGGAGTCACTGCTCGCCCAGATGTCGGAGAATCTGGCTGGCAACCTCAGCCCTCACACCTGAGCCAGACCTGCTTATAAGACACCATTCCTGCAAAATGACTCTCACAAGACACTGGTCAAAAATGGATGCTCTGGGCCCGGCTGGTGTGGCTCAGTGATGGAGCGCTGACCTATGAACCAAGAGGCCACCAATCCGATTCCTGGTCGGGGCACATGCCTGGGTTGCGGGTTTGATCCCCAGAGGGGTGCATGCAGGATGCAGCCAATTGATGTTTCTCTCTCTTCCCTCTCCCTTCCTCTCTGTCTAAAAAAAAAAATCAGCATTTTTTTTTTTTCCCAAATGAATGCTCTGGGCCAGCAGAGTAGGAAGTATTTCGTGCGTAGATGAAATCTCAGCTTTCTCATTTTGGTGGTACAGCCACTTACTAACCATGGGAGTTTGAGTGGGTCACTTAACCTCTGAGCCTCAGTTGCTCACCCACCAAACAGAAGGCATTCCATAAACAACTGTGACTGTTACGCTGCACGGGGCCTGGCATGAAGGAAATGCTCACTACAAGAGCACTGTGATGAGTAACAGATGTTTGTTTTGTGCCAATTTTGAATTCTGGATAGGGCGCTTTCTTTCTCTTTTGAGGGTTTTTATGCTTTTCTCCATCCGTGTAGCCAGTTATTTCTGTTCTTTTTTAAAAAATAAATCTTTATTGTTGGAAGTATTACATATGTCCCTCCCCCCCCCCATTGACCCCTCCAGCTGGTCTGTTCGAGGGGAGGGCACCCCACACATTTACATGTCTCTGCCTCCGACCCTAGGAGACTTGAGAGCCAATAGGAGGCAAAGGAGTTGTTCCAATCCCCAGCATGGCCTGCATCACACTGGAGCAGTCCCAGAGTGACTTTGAACTTGTTTTTGTAGGGTTTTGTCTTGTTTTTAAAAGCACAAGGACCATTTTCTGTTGATTTGCTTTAAAAAAACAAACAAGCAATAAATTCACTCCTGGCTTTATCTATTGAGCCCCGATTTAAGCACGTCTCTGGTCCAAACCAGCATCAGTGGGCAACTGGTGGGCAGAGATGCCTGGGTCCCGAGCTCCCCACCCACACACCCCACCGGCCCTCCATCACCAGGGTATATCTGGGAAGTGTGGGTTCACCCACACTCCAATTCCTACCTTCTTCATGCCACAGTTCACGAAGGAGCCCTGGCCTGGCCGGGTGGGCCGGTCCACCACGACGCCCTCTCGGAACTCAGACTCCTCGTCCTGACGCATGTGGTGAGGGCTGTCCAAGGGGTTCAGGAGCCCTGTGGGTGGGTGGGGGGGCAATCAGGGGAGGTGCAAAAGCACATGGGGGTATGGCAGGGACCCTGGTCCAAGGTCCAGCTCTGTCACAGCTGCCTCTTGCCACCAGGCCTGCTCTGCCTGGGTCTGCTTTCCCAGCTGTCTAGCGATTTCTCAGGATCTGGGAATGATCCATGGGAAATGGGGGTCAGACTCCCCCCAAGCCTTACCTGCAAACTGCAGATCCTGGTGCTTGGGAAAGAAGGCCTTCCTTAGGTACCTAGTGAAGGACACAGATCTCAGGAAGTTCCCAGGGAGGCCACCTCTGCCTG